AGCTGCGTGAGAAAAAGCAAGGGCCTACATCAGGGAACTTCCCAGAAAAAAATCACTGACTCCTTTAGACGTAATTGGAATTTTCCCCAGTTTAGACAGCATTCCCACTGCTCTTTAACCACTTGTTGACGTCCCTCATTTTTTTTTCTTTCGCTCGGGAGAGCTCGGGGTTTGCTGACTTGCCCCGTCCTGATGCCTGCAGTTGGCAGGGTGGGGGTCAGGGGCTGGGAGCCGTGGCCCCGGGTGGAGAAGCTGCAGCTCAGCAAACTTACCTTGGTTTCATCCTCCACTGATTGATTGAAATAGAGAATTAGCTCGGCTGATAATTAAAGCAAGCAGTCTGCTGAAGAAGAAAATCAATTGGTCGATTATCTCTTCCCTGCAGATTAATGCAGTGCGGGAACAGGCCTGGAGCAGACCGCACTGGAGCTGGCTTTAAAAGGCTTTGACCTCAGACTGACTGTAAGGGCTTCTCTCAGACCTTTATTTAAAGGCACATCAAAAGACATGCATTATTCAGTACACGCACAGTTAAGAACTAATGTATGTTTCTGCAGTACATCAGTGCATACTTGGTAAATAGTCTTAATGTGACAATTTACAAAGCTGAAGTGTTGGTGTTCTCTCAGTTATACATTGCAGTACAGAATTTGTGTGCAGACCATTACCACTAATGAGTTTCAACTGCAGTACTCTACATAACAGAGTGTCATTACTGTATGGCAGCTGCTGTACAGTATACCATAGACCAGTGTCACCACTGAAGTACACTGCTGCTAAACTAGGACTACAGTATAGTACATTCAGAGGTCACTGGTTTTAACTGAAATCCAGTTATAGTGCATTACACAACTGACCTGATAAAGATCAGGATTTATAAATTATACTTAAACAACATAGATTACTGAATTACATTTAAATGCTCCAACTAAGAGACTAATATTCCTGAATTCTAACTAACAGTATTTAGTGACCATAATTACTGCGGAATTGCCTTTTCAATTGTACTTTTCTAGATAAGTATTATACAGCGTTACAGTCCATAATCATTGATAAATTGTAGCTGTAGCCCAAAATGTTATTGACGGCAGTGTTACAACCTCTGTAGAACCACATCAAGACTGGATCTTGGGTCTTGTCAGTACTGGGACAGGAGACCTCCAGTGAAAGCAAGGTGACAGCTGTATGTGGTGTTGGTGGACCTGCAGGGGGCACTCTTCCAGCTGGCAAAATCCACAGCCTTCTTTAATTTCCATACTTTAAGTACTAAATGGGCTATAGATAGAACACTTCGGACTTCCACACTCAATCTAGCCCTGTGTGAAGTTCTGTAATGCAGTTAGTGAAGCAGTCTCTCACCTCTCCAGCTGGTCTGCTGTGCAGTGGGGCTGCCGTTTGTCACCCAGGTGGGGGCAGCTCTTCAGTAGTGGATGTAGTGGATCCTCCCCTGTAAGTCAAGCACCTAGGGATCCATTCAGTTGAAAAGTCCCACACAAAAGCAATAAAATATGATCATAGGCCAATGGCTACCATACTGGGTTCCAAAGATATATTGGGCGATTAAGAGAACATTCAAAAGTTTCCCAAAAAAGCTTAAAGTCAGTTCACTCCATAGCAAGCAAACCAGAACAGCTTTACGTTATCTGGTTTGTTCATATTAAACTTAAGGCCGTCCCAGTTGAAAGTGATGCCTTGAAAAAAGGTCATTTCTTGATCTGGTTGGTTCATCGCCATGTGAACTTCACTGTACTTACCCCTTCTTTACATTGTATCTTGATGTTAATATCTTTGCCCTCTTGGCTCTCAAAATCAATTAATATTCATCATCTTGCTGCACCATCCATGTGCTGACAGAAAGGAAGAAGGAAAAGGGGACTAGAATAATGGAGAACAGATGGCTTAGATTGTGTCAGAAGTTTCATTGTATCAGTGTGACTCAGTGTGGGGGCGTCGCCAGCACCCTGTCGAAATCTCAAGTTTAATAAACTGTGATGGCCAAGCCTTTAGGAGTGATTCCCATAGTCAACGTCCTCGATGAGGTTTCTCACTTGACGTGTTTATGCTTATATGGTTGTGCAACACATTGACCTTCTTTTCTTTGCTTTCCACTGCTTGAGCGTGTTTTCACCTGCTCTTTCCCCCAGTTTTACCTCGCTGTACCGAGCTGATTTCACAGTAAACTTTCACAAGACTCGTTAAGACTTACGCATTCTGTTCGGTCAGTGTCCGCCGCTCAGTGCAGTACAGGTGGCCTGGGGTAGCAGATGATTTCAGCCTGCACCTTGTGTACTTTAAAGAGAGCTTCAAATTCATGTTGAAATAAACCTTTGCAGCTCATCGGCTCATCGTTTATTAAAGTGGGAGATCTTTCGGGCAGGTTGTTGTTTCCTCAGACAGACAGGTTACCCCAAAACTGATCACAATTTGAAAAACGCCTCTTCTCTGCCTTAATTGTGGTTTGACTGGACTATTGAATAGCAGTTTACCCCAGTAAAATCGTACAGAATCTCTGCAGTTTTGCATGGCTTTGTCATGGTTGCACTGTGTGTTAACTGAGCCTTGCTATGCTTTTCTGCAGTCTGTCACACTTTGTTGTCTCATCATTTTTCTGCACAATTTGGCTGTTTTACAGCACTTAACTTACCATTGTATACCACTGCAAAAGCTGTTTAACGTATGGTGTAGCACTGCGCTACTTTAAAAAAGCACCAGTCCAGACGTCTCCCCTAGAGTCAATTTTTTTTAACAGACCCCACGCTCTGCCCTTTAGGGCATAATTATATAATTATAGATTTTTCTTTCTTCTTTTAATGCCTGTCTACATCCTTTAAAAGTGCCATTGAGAGGCACTTGTTGAAAGAGGATTGAGGGGTGGCGATTTTACAGTTGCCTGCACGGAAGTGGAATTCGGGGTGCGTGACTGAAGATGAGGGGGCCTTGCCTGGGCTACATGCCTTCATCTTCCTCGGAGTTTGAATGAACAGCAGACTCGGAAGGGAGGCAGAGGTTATATCCAGCTGTTCCCTGATCTCTTCCGCCACATGGTTCATTTATTAAAGCAGATCACGTGAGCAGTGTCCGAGATTATTGTTGTGGTTTATTTTCATCTCCATACAGTTGCAGGTTCTGAAGAAGAAGCTTGTTTGTTTTACTGTAGTTCCCTTATGAATATTTGAGCTAATGGGACAGATAAGAATGCAGTTTAGTGTAATAATCCCTTTTCTGAGCTTAAGATATACCATACGTGTAGAGATGTAAAGCACAGCTTCACTACAAGTTTTTCATTTCATATTTTTCTTCTTTGTGTGTTCTGAAAGCTCGTGTTGTGCTCATGTTTTCTCTTCATCCTTTATGAAAGTTTGTCAAGTATTGTGCATGATATTTTGCCAAGACTACAGGCATCATTGCCTATGCATAGGCTTGCTTGACCACGGTTTCTGTATTTTACACTATGATTTACCATACGTTTACTGTGATTTTAGTGTGCTTTACTACTCCTGGCTGGGCTCTAACTAGGATCCAACACTATGCATTTGTGCAGCTTGAAAAGAAGTTCCAACAGGGTGCCAAGCTCTCAGAAAAAATTTAACCAAAAGCATCTAGTCAAGGTTCTGCTTTTAAGGATCACATCTCATTTTACTCTTGTAACATATGAGGCTAATGTAAGACTTGCAGGCCCGACACTTAAGATAGTTTTTTTTTTTCTCTCAACCAGAAATGAACATTTTTCTTCGCTTACAACTGACGCCATTGCTTTGCGAGTTCCCACTAAATTCCTTTTTTCACTCCTGCCCCCAGCCACCCAGTCATCCCATCAGATTGCAAAAGAAAATCTGCCCAGGTGACAAAATTTTTTTAAAAAAATGCTCTTCATACCGGAGCTTGCTCTCCCAATAATGAAGAGAATTAATTTTATTAAAACCCCGCTGTTAATAGGGGATTAGCCAAATGAAAGAATCTGAAAGATAAAGAAAGGTTGTTTTTTTTTTTAAAACGGGAAATATCAGGAGAGTGAAATTGCTCTTTCTAATTTAATGTTTTTAAAGGGGTCAGCAGTTTCTGCAGAAGCTGGGCTTGAAGGGCCAGGGAATCTGCACCACAGCCCTGCGAGGTATTGACTCTGATCTCCCTGCACGGCTCCCTCCACCCCTCGTAGCGCCCAGCCACACTGCCGGGGTGGACCTGTCACAGGACAAAACCTTCTTGGGCTGCCGAGCTGAATTTGCCTTTGAATAGAGAGTGGTGTGACATTGGAGCCGTCTTTTCCTTGTTGGTGGCATCTTTCTCGGGAAGCTTAATTCCCAAGCAGTTCCTGAACACTTTGACATTGCTGCAGAGATCAAAAAAGAGATACGGAACAGCTCTAGAGCCACAGGGGAAAACAGAGCAATTGTTGTTATTAAAGTGCCCCATTATGCCTATTTCTACATAGTCCCAGTGATTTGTGTATTTACTCAGTCCCATGTGTACCGGTTTCTCAGGGATGGAGGGCTAACAAGTTTTCCTTTCCAAGTGGCATTTCTAGTTCCTGGGTCTCGGGTACAGTACGTGTCCGTTTTCTGGGCCTGTTTGGACTGAGATAGGGAGTGTATTTTGTTTTTTCCCATGGCGTTTTCCAGTTCAGAGTAGACCGGTGGAGCTTGTGCACGATGGTGGGCACGTAGGACGTTCTTCAAGGTAGATCGTCCTGGAAGAAGCTTCACTTGGCTCAAAAGCATTGCATAAGAACAGTTGCCAATGAGAGGAAGCAATTAATAATAATAATAATAAACTTTATTTTATATAGCGCCTTTAAAGGTGGCTTCTCAAAGCGCTTTACAGGATGACAATAACAATAAATAAGAAGACTACAACAATAAATAAGAAAATTTCACAAGACAGGACATAATTATAATTACAA